CCTGGCTGGGGATGAGAATGTTGATTGTGGCTGTCTTGGAGTGGGAGGCTGCTCCAGGCTGCCCCATCTTAGCATGTACATAATGGCTCAGGCTCTCTTGTAACTTGAGCCTAGGTGGGGGGAGTAAAAAGGTAACACTTTTTGCCCAGGAATCTGAACAAAGGAGGAGGCGGGGCTGCCATCAGGGTTGGGATGGACTGTGGAGTGTGCAAGTCCTCTTGGCTAGCAGAGGATGTAGGGAGGGGGCCCAGCGCATTGGCTTTGGGTCCCCCTCTCCCCAAGTTGGATTGTACTGGTTGCTTCTGATTCCTCTGTTAACAACAACTCTGTGCTATGCTGTGTCCCTGTCAAGGAATAAGCCTTCTGTTCTATGTGCTGGCTGAGAGTTGCATCTGGCTGCAGATGGGGGTGCAGGGCCCAGGAACTCCCCCATACTCCATAACACAGCTATTTTAGACCCAATCATTTTTGTATCTATATTCAAGATTATTTTGTCCCACGGGCATTACTTTGCACTTATAATCAGTGAATTCCATCTTGTGTTACCCAATTACTTGGTTTTGTGAGGTCCCTTTGTATCTCTTGCAGTCAGCTTTGGATTAGTCCCTGTTCACCCTTTTTCAAGAACATTTATGAGAAGTTTAACAGCAGTGATCCAAATGCAGATCCCAGCAGCACAACACTCATTCCTACTTCTCCTCCACACAATTTTTAATTGGAGGACCCGGCAATGTTTTCACGGTGATCTAACAATCCTTCAGTTACTGGACTGCCCAGCCCTTTGTTACTCTTAATCACCTGCCTTCCTCTGTTTATAACAAACTCCCTGCCTCAAAGGCAAAGCTGCAAGCAGCTCAAACTCTGTTGCATTTAAGAGCTGCCTCTGGAGCCAGGGTGTGGGCTTTAAGCAGACCTCAAGTATGAAATCCAGGGGTTCAACTCTGGGATGGGGGCTACTTCATCCCCTAAGCCCCTAGAATGGTGCCCTTGAAGCCGGACAAGAAGGACTTTGGGAAGCAGCTGGCTCCAGGTGCCTAATGGGACAGTGAGGTTTATTTAAGTTGGTCAGAGCAGGGTGGCAGATACAGTAAGTGAGGTGTTAGGGGAGCTCTCAGGGAAGGCCCTTGTGGAGAAGCTCAAGGCATTCTTGGCTTTGGTCTGTGATGCGGGGGAGAGGCCACCCCAGGGCTATGCTTTTGGGGATCAGGGGTTAGTGCTGACCCACACTGATGGGTCTGTAGCAGAGATCCTGTCACTAATTGATTAAATAAACAGTCAGAAGTCACCAGGAGCAGCTGGGATTCCCCCAAGAGTTCTGAAATTGCAGAACTGCTACCCATTGTGTGTGACCCATGGCTATAAGCACCCCGGGGCCCAATGACTAGAGGGAAGCTCTTGGCACCGAGTCACAGTCCAGAGGAGATAGAATCATAGTGTTGACAGAGACCTCTGAAGGTCAGCATGATCCTGGGAGTGACAGGCTTGTGAGTTCAACCTCAGCACCGGGCACTTGGATAAGAAAGAATGGAAATGCCAGAATCAGTTGGTTGGGGAAAAGTCAGCATGGAATTCTTGGAATTCTTGAAGGGAGCCAAACAAACATGTAGACAAGAGGATCCAGTGGACATGGAGTACTTAGACCTTCAGAAAGCATCTTACACAAGGTGCCATGGATAAGAGCGAAGATCCTCTAGTGGATCTGTAACTGATTAAAAGAGGGGAAGCAAAGGGCAGCAATAAAAGCACAATTTTCAGCGAGGAGAGAGGGAAATACCAGGTTCCCCAGGGACCTGTACTAGCACCAGCACAGACCAACGCATTCACAAATGGGCTTGAAAATGGGCTGAGCAGTGAGGTGGCACAGTCTGCAGATAACACAAAATTACTGAAGCTAGGAAAAACAAAAGCCACCTGAGAAGATTTACAAAGGCCTCTCACAAAACAGGGAGACTTGGCAACCCAATGGCAGCTGAAATTAAATATTGATAAAGGCAAAGAAATGCATTTTGGAGAATATAGAATCATAGACTCATAGGACTGGATGAGACCTCAGGAGGCATCGAGTCCAGATCCCTGCCCAAGGCAGGACCAACCCTAACTAAATGCTTAAGCTGGAAATTAAAAACATCTAGGGATGAAGATTCTACCACCTCCCTAGGGAACCCACCCCAGTGCTTCCCCACTCTGCTAGGGAAATAGTTTTCCTAATATCCAAGTTAGATGTCCCTCATTGCAATTTGAGACCATTGCTCCTTGTTCTGCCTTCCATCAGCCTCTCTCCATCCTCTTTGGAACCTCCCTTCATGTAGTTGAAGGCTGCTATCAACCCCCCCCCTCACTCCTCTCTTCTGTAGACTAAATAAGCCCCAAATCCCTCAACCTCTCCTCATAAGTCATGTGCTCCAGCCCCCTAATCATTTTCA